TTCGAGGGAGGGGGAGGAATGAAACGCCAAAAACCAATCTCAATTCATCATAATCATCAAAGTGTCTTACAATTCCAGTTACCAACATATAAATAACAAAAGAAACATAATATTTACGGACTTGGGACAAACCCAATGAAATAAAAAGATATCAATAAATAAAATAAGAAGTAAAATAATTGGGCCAATGTCCGCATCACTTTTCCTCTTAGTTTTATTACAAAGTTAAGGGGTATTTTCAATTGAGATTTTAATGAATTTCATCGGTTTGATAATAAATTCACGTGTCTCCAATTAAGATTGTAATGGATTATAATACATTTCAGTAAAATCTAGATATACCATGTTTGGGATTTTAATGGATAGGTAATCCATTAATATCTAGGTGTCTCCAGTTATCATAAATCTATAAGGATTTAATTAATAAATGAATTTTAAAAGATTTAGATGTATTTCAAACTTAAAAATACACATGATAAACTCTTTTGAAATTTCAATTTTTTTAATGAGACTTTTACTATCTATATGGAAATCAATCCAAATTCAAGAAATTCATCAAAATTTATAATATTTTTAATCCATCAAAAAGTAAGGAAAAATTATTGATCTAATTACAAAATTATTTTATTGAGAGATTGTATAGTTAAAAATTAGTGTAAAGAAACAATGATATTCAAATAATGAAAGAGCGTACAATGCCCTTGTTTGGGCTCTATTTTAATGGTGTGTTGGAAAAAATATATTTTTGGAATAGTATTTTTTTGGAGAATGTGTGATTAAAAATAATGAAAAATTTTGAGGTTGTGTAAAATATTATTTTATTAAAGAATATGTGATTGAAAAGAAAAAAATATATTAAAATTTTAATGAAGCTAAAATATTTTTCAAAGAAAGATTTGTAGTATGAATATTTGATGCATTTTTGGATAGATTCTTCGAAAAATGTGCTGCAAAGAATTTTCGTACGTGCTTCACAAAATAATATTCTAAAACCTTCAAATTTTGAAAAGTTTCAGTCGATGGACGGAGGTCTAGCAATGAAGTCAACCGTAAATCTACGGCAAAGCAAAACACCGTTACCTCACGCACCAATCGCAAATGTTCTTGAATTGAAGTCGTTCTTGTTATTTTTAAAATATATTTTTCTCTCTTACACATAAACTCAATATTTTCTTTATTTCTTATCACACATTCTCAATCAAATAAATATTTCAAAATGCATTTTTGAAAAAAAAAAATAATAAAATAAAATGGAAAGCAGACAAGTTCCAACAAAGGGGAGAAAAAAACACTCGAGAATGTATAGTCTCTATAAAACCATAACTACAAAAATCCCAGAAATTTCACAGAGACCCACGAAACCCTCGCTCTCTCTCAAAAATGCCCCTCCAAAACCAGATTCAGTGAAGCCATGGCCTCTTACTCCATAGTAGAATGCGGATCCACGGTAGGGCCCAATACTCTTTCGCACCTGATTGACTCCAATTCACTTGACTTATGCTATAAGCTGCTTGGCTATGTTAGAAAATTGCGTAAGGAATCTGACCTGTTTGTTGAAACGAAGTTAGTTAGTATGTATGCCAAATGTGCGTCACATGAAAATGCATTTGAAGTGTTTGATGCAATGAGTGAGAGGAATTTGTACGTATGGTCTGCGATAATTGGGGCATGGTCGAGGAAGAGGAAGTGGGGTGAAGTAATGGAGCTTGTTTATTCGATGATAGAGATTGATAATATTGTTCCGGATGATTTTTTGTTTCCCAAGATTTTACAGGCTTGTGGGAACTGTGGTGATTTGGAGACGGGGAGATTGATTCATAGATTAGTTATTAAATGCAGGATGAATAACCAAGTTTGCGTGAATAATTCAATTCTCGCTGTTTACTCAAAATGTGGGTGGTTGAACTCTGCAAAGAGGTTTTTTGAAGGAATGGAGATGAAGGATACAGTTTCTTGGAATGCAATAATCATTGGTTATTGTCAGGAAGGCTAGATAAAGGACGCATGCAGAATGTTTGATTTGATGCGTGAAGAAGGCATTGAGCCAGGTGTTGTCACTTGGAATATATTGATTTCGAGTTATAATCAGTTGGGGGAAGTGTGACATTGCCATGGAAATGGAAATGATGAAGGAGATGGAGAATTGTTGAATCATGCCAGATGTTTTTACTTGGACTAGTGTGATTTCGGGGTTCGCACAAAATAATAGGAGGTTGGAGGCATTGGAATTGTTCGGGGAGATGCTTCTGTCTGGAGTTGGACCAAATGAGGTTACACTCATGAGTGCTATCTCAGTTTGTGCATCTTTGAAAAATTTAAGGAAAGGAAATTCGTCTGGTTGCCAGGAAGGTGGGGTATGGTGAAGATGTTCTAGTGGGGAATTCACTTGTTGATTTGTACTCCAAGTGTGGGAAACTTGATTCTTCTAGGCAGGTGTTTGATATGATTTTGGAGAAGGATGTCTATACTTGGAACTTGATGATTGGTGGATATTGCCAAGCTGGATACTGTGGGAAAGCCCATGATCTCTTTATGAAAATGCAGGAATCATATGTATTACCAAATGTCATTACATGGAATGTGATGATCACAGGTCACATTTAAAGTGGAGATGAAGATCAAGCTATGCATCTTTTTCAAAGGATGGGGGTATTAAGCGAGACAGTGCTTCATGGAATGCTCTTATTGCTGGCTACTTACGGCATGGACAGAAAGATAAAGCATTGGGTATCTTCCAGCAAATGTAGTCTTTTGGTGTAAAACCCAATTCAGTTACTATTTTGAGCATCTGACCTGCCTGTGCAAATTTAATTGTTGTGAATAAGATGAAAGAGATCCATGGTTATGCCTTGCGTAGCAATTTACTGTCTGAGCTTGCAGTTGCAAATTCCCTATTAGACACTTATTCCATCTTCGGGGAATATCATTTCTTCAAAATCCATGTTTAATAAAATGTCAACCAAAGATATCATCGCCTGGAACACATTAATTGCTGGTTATGCCCTGTACGGTTGTACATATGATGCAATCCAGCTCTTTGAACAGATGGGAAAAGAGGGATGTAGACCAAATAGAGGTACATTAGCAAGTATGATTTCGGCTTACGGTCAAGCTAAGATGGTTGATGATGGGAGATGTCTTTTCTCTAGCTTGCCGGAGTATTAACATGTTCTACCTTGTCTAGATCATTATGCAGGAAAAAAAAAAGTAAATTTACTTGGTCATTCAGGGAAGCTTGATGAAGCATTTAAGTTCATTAAAGATATGTCTGTGGAGGCTGATGTCTCCATCTGGCATGTTGTACCCATGGAAATGTTAAATTGGCAGTCTATGCTGGGGAGCAGTTGCTTGAACTTGAAACAGAAAATGCCTTGGTTCACTGGTTGGTTTCACAGCTATATGGTTTAAGTGGGATTTCCCTGAAATCTTTCAAAATGAGAAGGCTTGGAAAAAGAAGCGATCCTAAAGAATATCTAGGATGTAGCTGGATTGAAGACAAAAACATAGTGCTCTCTTTTGTTGCTGGCAGCCATCATAAACTAGATGATAAATTTCTACTTTCTTTTCCAAGGAGTACAGAGGTAAAAGCCAAGGAAACAAAGTACCGTGATATGCTTAGCATTCAGGAAGAAGAGATGGAAGAAACCGGAGGAGTTCATAGTGAAAAGCTTGCTTTGGCTTTCTCTCTCATCAGATATCCTCAAACACCTCGAAGTATACGGATTGTCAAGAACCTGAAAATGTGTGAGCATTGCCATAGGGTTGCCAATCGGTCTCTAAGACGCATGGGTTTGAAATATACTTAAGTGATTCGAAATGCATACACCATTTCAAACGTGGGATATGTTCTTGTGGCGACTATTGGTAGATAAGATGAATAACGTGGGATATGTTCTTGTGTGTGTAATTGACATATTTTGTCCGAGAATTTGGACATAGTCGTTCACCCAAAGTATTGTGGATGGACGAAGGACGTCATTTCGTCCATCTGCTATGCATCAAATGGTGAAAAGGATGGAGGAATGCATGCTCTTTTCAAAGTGTATATATCCTATAATGCATATATCATCGTTCTTATTTGTAAAATGGAAAGAATACATATTTCATTTTAGTGATTGATATTTCATTCTTTCAATCCTCTTGTTCGCCATCCATATTTGTTCATTTGAAATTGGAAAACAAAAAGATATATCCATAATTTCAATTAAATATGTCAAAGACATTATGAAACTAATCACAAAAGTGGGAATGGTACGAGGGTTTATTGAAAGCTTGAAGCAGGGAGTGGAATTACTACAATGTTGTTGCTTGGAGAATAGCCAGATTCAAGGATGTGTAACACCCCCCCAGTGTCTCACTCATGGACTTTTATTTCTCATTTGTCTAAAGGATCAGCTTTTAAAGTATAATGGATGTGCATCATTTGAATTTGAACTGAGTGAAAGCTATTTTTTTCTGTTGCCCCATTCATGACTGTACAGAAGTTACTATCTACTTGACACTTACTTTTAGTGTGTGTTTGAACCACATTATTTTGAAAGAATGTATTTTGGAATAGTAGATTGATAAAGAATATGTGGTCAAAAAATGAAGAAAAATTTTGAATTTGCGTGTAATATTATTTTATTGAAAAATGTGTGGTTGAAATGATGTCAAATCATTATTTAAGAATGAATTTTTTTAAAGAATGCGGCTCAAACAAGGCCTTAGTAAATGATCTTATCAATACACAAATTTATTACTCCCTATGAGTTTCAGTTGTCCTCGTATTGATCACTAAGAGAATTGGAAGCTTTCCCCAAACCACCTTTCTCACCAATGAACTCCTCAATTTCAATGTAGTGGCACTTTAAAGGATAAAATACCTTACCGTTTTTATGCCTTTGCTCTTTTAATATTTCTGTCCATTTCATAGTTTCTTCAGTGTTCAGAATTTCTTAAGTTCTCCATGTTTTTCCCCTCTTCATCTTACATTGGTGAACGTTTTTATCTGCTTTTAGGTTACATATCAATGCTTTCACTGGAAGAAGGGAACACTGTTTGCAGATGATCAAGGTATCTACAATAGGTTGACTTGGTGGGAGCAAATAGAAAATGGCAAGCAGCTCACTCCCAATAGGAAATTATTGACTGTCGCTCCTGTGGTGCTGTAAGTAGTCCTTCGATCTCCTAATTTTATAAATTGGAATGTTTTGGCTCATTAGTCTTGTCGGTGACCATTGCCTTCTGTCCAGTTTATTTCAAAAGGTATATATCTGGATTAAATCAATTTATGGGCGCCTTGGTATGGATAATTGATAGAATAAAGTCTTTGAACTGTTGCCAAGCAATATTGACGTATGGATTCTCTCATCAGGCTTCAAATGCTTAATAGTTACATGACTTGCATAAAAAACTTGATTTCACCCACAGAACTTAAGAATGTAATATATCCAGCATTGAGCATTGAGATTCTATAAGCCTGTGGATAAATATCCAGTGCTTATCAGATATTTATTGCATGCCTTTATTGGCTAGTGACATAACTGATCGAGTTGGTGAATGCTAGGTTCATCTGCAATTCATAGTGTGTGCATGAACTTTTACTTGCACAAGCATCACTTGTAATAATTTAACTCTAGTTTGCATATCCATATATTATTGTTTTTCATTGTATTGCCGATGCCCCCCCGACAGTAAAAATGAAACGGTTGATACCAATTTTCTAGGGAAGCTTCCCACAGTTCAATGAAGTTAAGTTTAGAAGCCAAAAAAATCTTTTGTATAGTCTATGTACTAAAAAGTCGTGAAATTCTTATTCTACAGACAACAAATATTTACTCTGAGATACAGCCTCAGGAAGATGAGGTTTTTTCTGGTTTGTTCAAATTTCTTTTCCAGGTTACCTAGAAGTTCTTGATCTCTTAGGTAGCCTTTTATTGACATACTATTTTTTTTTTTCACTTGCTACTTTGCTGGGGTATATCGAAAAAGGCTTTGTTTGTCTGTTTATTTATTTATTTGTTTCTTGATAATTTCATTAGCATAACCTGTATTTATTTCGCGACGTTCCTTATATGATTATTTTGTTATATTTGATGACCATGACATTATATTCCTAGTGGGTTCTTTTGGCCTAGCATGAATAATGCCTTGGTCATAATGACTGAAATTGAATGATATGGAAATGACCTCAATTTTTATGCTCAAATGTTGCTTGTCGATTGCTCTTTGCTCATAGATAGTGAACTAATCAAATTTTATGAAACACTAGCAATAATTTTATATTTTTGGTTCTACTGATGATTTTTTTAGAACTTCTATGGAAGCTTTATGTAACATTGCTTCAAAAGACGTTTGAACACAGAGTTTTGGTATATTCCATTTTTATTTATTATAATTTAATTTGAATTTTCTACATAGTTTTTCTTTGAAGTCGCTCTTTCTCTTTCTCTCTCAAATGAATGAGGTATTTTGTGCTCTTATGATTATGGAATCATCAAAAGATTAATACTTGTACTTCATGGTGCAAAGTATACACACACTAAAGGTAGATATATATTTTACCATATTCGGTATTTTGCATGGTACCTGTCACTTAGTGATCACTATGATAGATCTCTTTTATTCATATTGTCTTTTGATCTGGAATAGTCTTTGTGCTTCTTGTAGTTCTCGATTAATAGAAACAGGTACCAAATTTGCAAAGAATAACAAGATCAATATATATTAACTAGACACGAAATATCATTATATCAAAAAGTGTTCAACATCATTACTTGGAGCTTATTGATTCAATTCGTTCTTGATTAAACTATGCAAGTGATGTTAGCATAATTCAAAGCCTTGTTGCAATGCAATTATATGTGAAAATCTGGTTTGTGTGTAATTCATGTTATTTTTTCCCGAACAGACCATAGACTAGTATTAGATTATTTGACCTTATCGTGATTAGTTTAATATTCAGGCATCAAATATGATTTAAACAGTCACATATTCTTGAAAATTTTCAGTAGTAAATTTGATTCTTATTTTGGCAACCAAACATTGCACTTGATTTTAAAATTGTGTATTGTGAGGCTAATTTTTGTTACTACTTTGAAGTTTCTAAGTATTAATTATTCATTATATAATTTGTACTTCTTGTGCATGGTTGTTTTGAACATATACAAATGAGGATTGAGGGATTTAATGTTTCTCTTTCGTCGCTGATTACTTGAAATTTTGCTCAAAGTTTACTAATGAAATCTCATTTGAGAAAGTTTCAATAGTTAGAGTAAATATTAGTGGGTTGAACATTTTTGTAGTTTGTAAATTAATGGAGCTCATTTTGAGCTTATGCGAAGCTGCCTGAGCTTGACTCCAATTTGGCTCGGTCAGAGCTCCTTTTTGATTTGACATGCAAATGACTCTAATCAAATATGAACTTATTTTTGAATTTTCAATTTGTAAAGAAATCATGACTATATTTTTGGCTCCACCTTGACTTGTTTAACCTTTAGGCCATTTCAAATCCTTACCCACACAAACCCTATTTTTTGTGTCCCCAGTGCCACAACCATCACCTCTTACGTAGAAGCTTGATACATGACAAATGAATAAATGAACGAAACAAATCTACGACATTGTCAATTTTATAGTTGGGCCTTAGCTAGCAAAACCTCTGTTTTTGAGGGCTTTAATATGTAGGATATAATAAATGGAGAAAATGCACACAAGGTTGATACTTGATACTTTATTTGATATAAACAATTTCACAGTGTTCTGAAGTGTTGAATTTCCGACTCGTTAACCAATTTTAAGCTGCATATTGACCATCCTCTTCAGCCCATTGGTTAAGATTGTTGTATGCTGACCTTTGCCTTCCATTTTCATTCATTTCTGTTTGCCTCAGTCAACAATTTGATTCTCAAGGGCTTTGCTTACTGTTTCTTGCCCATAAAACAAAAGAGGTGCTTAAGCTTTATTTATCATTCCTCTATAATTTATTTCAGCAATCGGGTTGATAGAATATCCTTTTCTGATTTCACGAAAGAAATATATATATTGTTTGTTGTGCATCTGGCGGTTTTTGACTAATCACTTTCAGCTAAATTTCTTTGACTGGAATCTATTTATGCTTATTTTATCGTTTCTTATTGCAGATATAGCCTCACACACTATTGGCTATCAACACCCTATGCTCTTCTTCAACACACTAGCAGTTTTCATTCTGGTTGTTGCCAAGTTTCCACATATGCACAAAGTTCGTATATTTGGAATCATTGCCGACCAATGAGCTCACATCCATTAAATAAACCCATTACAGGTTACTCTCTATTATGATATCTATTATGATATGTTGATTGTCTTTTTGTTTCTGGTATCCTTTTACACTCATTATCATGGTTATATTCCCGTCAAGCATGTTGATTTTTCCGAGTTCTAAGCTATGGGAGACCCTTTTTGTTTAACAGTGAAGACTATGGTGTGGTGGGCAATACACATTATCTTGGTAGACTTTTCGGATGAAGTTCCTATAAAATCCTGGGAGAAGTCTTCACTAGAGCACGTAGATGAACCTTCGTGTCTTGGAAAATACGTTGGTCCAACTATCTCGGTTTTTAACATTTAAAAATAAAAAAGTAAAGCTCGTTTTTGTATGGGTTGTCCCGAATTATGATTTCTTGGAAAGTGCCCAATAAACACGCATTAATTTTGATTTTTCCTCGATGAATGAGACTAATGTGAGGCATATGTTTGGTATACAGTATTTTGTTTTTTTCCTTTGATGGATAAACTCCAGATTCTAAGCAAAGAGAATGGTGGATTACAAATTTAGTATTGATTAGTGATTAGCTGTAAAGAAATCACTGCATATGGAGAGCAGTGATTGTTTACTATTTAGTGGTCGTTAAGTTGCAGAACCACTCTCTACCTCTAATATAGTGATATGAATTAACATGCTTTATGCTCAGCAAGCACATTGTGAAATCTTGACCAGTCAACACACTCAAGTCTGTGCCCCACATTCCTTTTATTTAACAATTAAAGTATCAAAATTAAGCTGTTTGTGTAGGGAAAAAATACACCTTGCTTTACAGATGAATAGGTGGCAGTTTTTTAATGGCTGAATTTATCGTATAAATTTTGTTAAGTGGTGTGAGATTTTGTCAAAGTGTAAATTCTGTAAACCAAATAGTAAAAAAAGGTGTACATGTAGCAAAACTGGTGCTGCTACAATTTATGTAGCCCTAGCCCTTGATTGTGCACACCATGTTAAAGTGCATACTTTATATACACACACGAGAAAAGAATAATTGAAGAAAAAAATTGGAAACCACTAAATACGACACCAAAATAGGCCTCCATGAGATTTTATGATCTTGGTCACTTGTGATACATTACACTAAGGGCTTATTTGATATGGAAAAATTTCCATGGATTTTCCATTTTTCACATTTTGAGTTGTTTGATTGTAACAATTTTTCATGGAATTCAATTTACCTTCACGTGACCTTTTTCTTTGAATTGGTAGAAAATCAATTCTCACATTAGTGGCGGACGCAGACATTTGAAATTAGTGGGGCATGATCAAACTTATTAAAAAATTATGTATACTATATGAACACATAGGTGATCATCGTCATAGATTCATAAATCTCATATATCTGTAAATAACAATTCTCAAAGAATTCCAAATAATCTCACATATATGATGAATAACAATTTTCAAATTAAATATCGCAAATAACAAAATGATTTCAACTCACTCTCTCAATTATTCGATCATCACCGTAACTCTATTCTAATAAAAAAAAAAACCCAACTACCGTTATTGCCCAAATCTGATTTTTGGCACTTAAAAAAAAAAAAAACTTGAAATTTGGTGGGTCAAGTGACACACCAAGACCATAAGTAAGTCCGCCAGTGCCCACCATTTTGGTGAGAATTGGGTTTTTCTTTTTTTTCTTTTTTTTTAAATCAGCAAGGGAAGCAAATTCTATCCACAATTGTAAAAAAATTATCCTTTTAATTGACATTTTTCATAAAAAACAAAGTCAAACAAAAATTAAAAAATTCAAAATTTCAACATTTTTCAGGTGAAAAATTATATTAATCAAACACATTTAATTAATAATTCCCAATATAACAAGTTTTAGGTATTTCAATTCCTTGAAATTCATTTTCTTTCCACCGAAATTTTATTCTTACAATCAAACGAACCCTAAATAATATTTATTTGATCGAGACTTTATTTTTCTTTCTTTTTCAAACATATATAATCCTATTATCAAACATGACGTGGTTAATTTTACAGCAAAGAACCACAAATATAATGCATAAAACAAATCTTGAAGTCTAGATCTATATGGAATGCGTGGGGGATTATTCCTCAGCACAGTTCCCCAGGGGACTGTACCATAATAATCAAATAGAGTGCTTGTGAAATTGAAAGGGAAAAGGCAACATGGCATGGAGAAAATAATCATTACCTCATTGGGGAAAATGCAGATGTTTATGCTAAAAGTAGCAAATGTGGTTGAATTGGTCTTCAACTGTTTGGATTCAGAAGTTGTCATGTAAAACTATTTCTTTTCAAGCAGTTGGAAGTGGAACAATTTCATGTAAAATTGATATGTGTATGATATAATTTTTTTTTTTTTTAATCGATCGATTCTTGATCAACGGATAAGCGTACATTATAAGTAACCTCAAGACAATTTTACGAGTTATGTAATTTGTACTAGCTCATCACCCTCCAAATATCCGGGCTTAATTTCTTTGTCTCTTCTTCTATGTTCACTGCATAATATCCAAGTTCACAATAAAATGATGCCAACCCAGCAACCCTAGAAAAGCTACAAACTCTCATCATGATCAAAGAGTAATGATATATTTAATCCAGCTTAAATAAAGCAAAAGGTGTTGAGATTAAGAAACCCTTGTACCTATAGGTTAGTTTTTGAAGATATCCAAACAAGTCACTGCGCTCGAAATGAATTAAAATGAAAATAAAATACAATTACTGGATTATTTTGTACCATCTTTACCATGATCCTCCTGGACCTCCACCTCCACCTATTACTCCATTCCAATAATCTGTTGAATCTCCATTTTGAT